TATCTCTCTATCTGACTATCTATCTATCTGACTATCTATCTCTCTCTATCTATCTATCTGACTATCTATCTATCTATCTATCTGACACTCTCTCTCTCTCTCTATCTGACTATCTCTCTATCTGACTATCTATCTATCTGACTATCTATCTCTCTCTATCTATCTATCTGACTATCTATCTATCTATCTATCTGACACTCTCTCTCTCTCTCTATCTGACTATCTCTCTATCTGACTATCTATCTATCTGACTATCTATCTCTCTCTATCTATCTATCTGACTATCTATCTATCTATCTATCTGACACTCTCTCTCTCTCTCTATCTGACTATCTCTCTATCTGACTATCTATCTATCTGACTATCTATCTCTCTCTATCTATCTATCTGACTATCTATCTATCTATCTATCTGACACTCTCTCTCTCTCTCTATCTGACTATCTCTCTATCTGACTATCTATCTATCTGACTATCTATCTCTCTCTATCTATCTATCTGACTATCTATCTATCTATCTATCTGACACTCTCTCTCTCTCTCTATCTGACTATCTCTCTATCTGACTATCTATCTATCTGACTATCTATCTCTCTCTATCTATCTATCTGACTATCTATCTATCTATCTATCTGACACTCTCTCTCTCTCTCTATCTGACTATCTCTCTATCTGACTATCTATCTATCTGACTATCTATCTCTCTCTATCTATCTATCTGACTATCTATCTATCTATCTATCTGACACTCTCTCTCTCTCTCTATCTGACTATCTCTCTATCTGACTATCTATCTATCTGACTATCTATCTCTCTCTATCTATCTATCTGACTATCTATCTATCTATCTATCTGACACTCTCTCTCTCTCTCTATCTGACTATCTCTCTATCTGACTATCTATCTATCTGACTATCTATCTCTCTCTATCTATCTATCTGACTATCTATCTATCTATCTATCTGACACTCTCTCTCTCTCTCTATCTGACTATCTCTCTATCTGACTATCTATCTATCTGACTATCTATCTCTCTCTATCTATCTATCTGACTATCTATCTATCTATCTATCTGACACTCTCTCTCTCTCTCTATCTGACTATCTCTCTATCTGACTATCTATCTATCTGACTATCTATCTCTCTCTATCTATCTATCTGACTATCTATCTATCTATCTATCTGACACTCTCTCTCTCTCTCTATCTGACTATCTCTCTATCTGACTATCTATCTATCTGACTATCTATCTCTCTCTATCTATCTATCTGACTATCTATCTATCTATCTATCTGACACTCTCTCTCTCTCTCTATCTGACTATCTCTCTATCTGACTATCTATCTATCTGACTATCTATCTCTCTCTATCTATCTATCTGACTATCTATCTATCTATCTATCTGACACTCTCTCTCTCTCTCTATCTGACTATCTCTCTATCTGACTATCTATCTATCTGACTATCTATCTCTCTCTATCTATCTATCTGACTATCTATCTATCTATCTATCTGACACTCTCTCTCTCTCTCTATCTGACTATCTCTCTATCTGACTATCTATCTATCTGACTATCTATCTCTCTCTATCTATCTATCTGACTATCTATCTATCTATCTATCTGACACTCTCTCTCTCTCTCTATCTGACTATCTCTCTATCTGACTATCTATCTATCTGACTATCTATCTCTCTCTATCTATCTATCTGACTATCTATCTATCTATCTATCTGACACTCTCTCTCTCTCTCTATCTGACTATCTCTCTATCTGACTATCTATCTATCTGACTATCTATCTCTCTCTATCTATCTATCTGACTATCTATCTATCTATCTATCTGACACTCTCTCTCTCTCTCTATCTGACTATCTCTCTATCTGACTATCTATCTATCTGACTATCTATCTCTCTCTATCTATCTATCTGACTATCTATCTATCTATCTATCTGACACTCTATCTGACTATCTATCTGACTATCTCTCTCTCTCTCTATCTGACTATCTCTCTGACTATCTCTCTATCTGACTATCTATCTCTCTGACTATCTATCTCTCTCTCTCTCTATCTATCTATCTCTCTATCTGA